CCGCCCTCACTGCGCAGTCCACAGGCCACTCGCAAGCAGGCCCCTGGCGCTCCACACCACGGCGTACTGTACCTGAACTTCCTCGAAGATAGTTGCCTGCTCCTGATTGGTCAGTGTGGTCAGGTGCTTCTGGAGTTCCAATTTGGTTTTAGATGAATTCATTCCTGTCAAGAAGAGAGAAGAGATGACCAGTCTATGGGGGAAGCTCTGAGTTGGACTTACCACCTTCCAAACTCCCTTCCTTGACGTCCTCACCCACCCACTTCAGGACGCTTCTACTTGCCAACAACGGCATCACTCTGTACTGCCCGCCGCTGTGTGGAGTGTTGTACACCAAGGCTGAACCTGCCTCCTTTCACTAAGTCTCCAAACAACTCCAGAAGAGTATGCCGTCATCCCAATTTCATATTCAAGCAAACCAAGGACAGAGAGTTTTATAAACCTCTTCAAAAACGACCTTCTGCACTGCCTCAGATAGATGTCGCTCCAGCTCCCGGTTTGGCATTGAAATACTACAAACAACCCAGACATTGCCTTCAGAGATGACGAGCTCTTCTCACCATGTGAGGGCGGAAGAATACTTCTCAATAAAAAGCAAGCAGGACCGCACTGCAAGCCGAGGCACACTGCTCCCTTACATTCTACTTATGTCCCCGTCATGCCACCAGTGTGGCTAAGGGTTCCTCTCATCCCCACATTTAACAGTCTTGAGGCCGGTCTATTAGCATTACAAAGGATTCTGAAGAAAAGTGATAAAAAAATGACCACCTAAAAGCCCAGTACCCATCAGCATTTACTTAAGACGTTCCATTCCTGCAGGAGCACAGTTCAGGGCCTCGTGCATTTTCTTGATGTCAGAAGACAGGAAGATTGAGGAAGACCCTGATACCCCGCCTCCGCTCAACGGCACCTCTACTGTTCAGCTGAGTCTGCTGCGGTCCACAGGGACCTGGGAACTCAGAGGCCAAAAGGCCTGTCAGGGGCCAGCCTGTCCCAAAGCCAGTGTTGCTGCCTCTTTTAGCAGAGGCCAGTCAGCCCAGCCCTCCCTCTTGGCTGCACTAGGCACAGGGTGCTGGCCCTACCCAGTGTACAGCAGGCACCTCAGCTTCCAGAATGTTATTCTTCCTTATTTTGTCTTAAACCAAGACGAACTCTAAATTTCATCAAGTACTTTCTAGGTTGAAGTCTCATAGCAGTTGTATGGTTAGACAGTTCAAGTACATAATCCAGAGCTTCCCTTCTTGGAAGCTGTGTGAACCTGCTGGCACCGAGCCGCAGGTGTACCCACACACAGAATGTATTTATTCTCTTCTATACATTCAGGGGCTTAACTTGACTACATCCGCTGTTACTGGCCCTTCCTATAGTCTGTGGTCAGACTATAACTTCCTGATAGAACAACGGGTGTGTGGGGGGGAGGGAGGGATGTGGAGGGGTGTGGATGTGATGGGGATTGAGCTCAGGGTGTTGTCCAAGTAAGACAAGCACCCTACCACTGCGGCACAGCCTTGTTGGACTTCGCAGGCTTCTAGATGTTAGGATTAGGGTTCAGTTCAGTGAAGGCTGTTGGCACGAGAGCCTGGGACCTCACAAATGCTAGGTCAGGGCTCCACCTCTGAGCTTTGTAGGTCCCCAGCCAAGAAAACCCTTACAGGAATATTCAACGGCACAGATCGCTTCGCTCCACTTAGTGGAGCTGCAGCCACAAAGATCCAAGGACCCAAATCTACCCATTAAGCCATCAGTCCTTCTTCCCAGGCGGTCTCTCCTACGTCGCCATCTATTCCTTTAAAAGTGCTTAATGTTTAATGGGTGCTCTCTATAGCCCTGCAGTTTTCTGCCTTGGCTGGATTTTATCATGTAAAAGAGAACTGAATGATTATTCTCCAAACTGCTACAGCAAAGCGTTAAGCTGATTAGAAGTTCCAGCTAAGTGGAAGTCGGCAGCAGTCAGCGCTGCAGATCATGGTCTCCTCTAAGTTCAAAGCCACTGCCGGCTTCTCAGTCAGCCCGTGGGGCATTTCCATCATCACTTGCCTTCTCTCGACAGCCACTGTGGAAAGAGCTAGTGAGCCTCTCAGTTGGGATTGCTTGTTACAGCAGACTGCTCATTCCCAGACACAGTTTATATGCTGTCAGCAAATAGTACAGACACAGAAAACATCTTTAAATACATCACTCACAAGCATTTCAGGAGCACTGTAATGCCCACAGTGAACCCTTTCAGACTTCATGATATTGACTGTAAATTTATCTCATTAAAACAAATAAACCAGTGATATTTCATACCTATTAGGACAGCTACCCTCATACAAATCATTTCTGTAAAAATGCAGAGAAGTCGGGATCCGAGAATAGTGCAAATGTAATGACAATAGAACAGGATAGGAGGGCTTGACAGCTGGTTTAATACCAACTTGACAGAAGCCAGAGTTATCTGAAAGGAGGGAACTTCAAATAAGAAAATGTCTCCATAAGACTGGGCTATAGGCAAGCCTGTAGGACGTTTTCTTAATTACTGACTGATGGGAGAAACACAGCCCATGGTGGGTGGGGCCATCCCTGGGCTGGTGGTCCTGGGTTCTATAAGAAGGCAGGCTGAGCAAGCCGTGAATTGCAAGTCTGTAAGCAGCCCCCTCCATGGCCTCTACACTAGCCCCTGCCTCCAGGTTCCTGCCCTGTTTGATTTCCTGTTCTGATTTCCTTCAATGACTGACTACGATGTGAAAGTATAAGCCAAATAAACTCTTCCCCACCTCCCCCAAGCTGTTTTGGTCATGGTGTTTCCCCATAGCAATAGAACCCCTAACTAGGACACTCACCGTATAAACCAGCAATTTCATTTACCCAAAAGAACCCAAAACAGAAACCTAGACAAATGTGAGAATACCAATATCCTTAGCATTAGTGCCACAGCCAAGACGCAAAAGAGCCCAAATGCCCAGTGGTGAATAAACAGATGCAAACTGACAGACATTATTCAGCCATTCAAGGAAATAACGTTCTGACATGTGCAAAATGAGCAAACCCAGAACATATAATGCTAAGTGAAAGAAACCAAAGAAAACAGCTCCTAATGATTGCTCCAGAGAAGGACCTAGACTAACTCAGTGTTAGTCAGTAAGGGAGGCTGGGGAGAGAACTCAGTGGCAAGACAGAGCGTGCTCTCTGCAAGCAGGTGAAGCCGAGATCAGAGCGGGCACTCTGCCTGCCCTATAACCCTGCACTGAGCTCGCAGACACGGGAACCCCAGCACTTGCCAGCACACTAGTCCAGCCAAAACCAGCCTCTAGCTCAGTGAGAGAAAACCTGAAGGAAGGCAACAGGCAGAGAATGAGAGCAGAAAGCACCCTGTTCTGGCTTCTGCAGGCACTGGCACAGGTATACGTACATTCGCACACCACAGATTACGCCCCCTCCCCACACACGCGTGCACACACACTCGCACAGGAAAAGGGAAAGACTGCCGAACGGGGGAAGGCTCAGGAAGATGAAGGGCCCTGAAGACGGGCAGCAGCAGTGGCCGCTCACTGTCAGTGGGTGTGCGGCCACCGCGCTGTATTCTTCTTTAGAAAAAGAAAAGATGAGAAGGATGAGTTTTCTCTTGGGGGATATTCTTTTCTCACAATTACATTAAAAAAAGAAACCAGGTCTAAATGTCAACATGGTTCTTTACAGAATTAGTGTGTGGCAAGCATTCTATAGCTACACAAGAAATGTTCACATCTTTGTTTCTGCAATTGTATAGCTTAAATCATGTGACTGTCTCGGAAACCACACGCACACATACACACCTGCAGAAATCTTCCTACAGGCACAACCAGATGCAAAATGAAGAAAAGAAAAACAGAACGCCTCACTTTTCAGATTCCGCCAAAAAACCACCGACCGACACCCCCCCCCCCCCCCCCCCCCCCCCCCCCCCCCCCGCTGACCCGGACCAGACTCCGCTCCTGCCAGAACATTCCTCAGTCAAGAGGAATCATTCGTCTCTCCCTGGACTGCAGCTAACAGTCCAGGCAGTGGATTCTGGGCTTGCTATGTGCTAGTTTATCCCTGGATGGCTCTAACCTTCTAATTTATTTATGAAATAACAAATAATCCACTTTTTTCTCAGAAATATGATGAAGATAAAATTGATATCTTAAAAAAAAAAACTTAGCACAGCAACTGGCTCCTCTTCCTATCAAATAAATCCTGCAAATGATGGCATTTCATTGTAAGCTTCTAGAAACTGTAGTTAATAAGGTCACCATGACTTTGTTTTTTTAAATTCCCTCACATTTCCTCCTTACAGCCTGTTTTCTGCTCTCCTCCATTAAAACTGCCCTGCAGAGACTACAGGGGACCCTACGCTGGAAGAGCACAGGAAACTCGTTTACCTCTCTCATTGGTCTAGCCCTCTGTGGCGGCCACCCTGAACGACCCACCAATCTCACACAGCTCAGCCATCCCTCACCTCTCCATTACCCTCAGGGTGCCTTGGAGAGATGGCAAGAGGGGATGTGGGGCCTTAGCTTTGTATCCATCGTGCCAGAAAGAACACCCCCCTGCAGTGTGAGCTCACCCTGCCGCAGGCAGCCCCAGCAGAGGCGGCGTGCTCCAGCTACGGGTGCCTCAAACTCACCCTCTATCCTCTCACAGAGCTTGTGCAGGCCCTGCAAGGGGCAGCCCTCGCACAGCTGGGCCGGAGCACTCGCAGTCTGCTGCACTGCAGCCACCGTGAAGGCCTGCTTCAGGGTCATCATGATCTCGTCCACCTGAGCAGAGAGAAAGCGTCAACAGCGAGGCAGCTGGCGGGGACAGCAGTACAGGACAGACTGTTTGGGAAGTTATTCCTGGGCTATTTTTCACAGACTGACAGCAAACTGTGGAAATCATTGCTAGGTCTGTGGCCTGTGGTCTGAGAATGACCACCTCCAGAGTCAGCGCTCTTAAAGCAGGTGAGGTACAAGGTAAACACAGCATTTCGAAGCACAAAGCGGTGCCTCTGGCCTAAAGTTCACAGTCATTCCTTTTCTACTTCTTTTCCCCACCCCTCCCTTTTTTCTTTTTTTAGTACCAGGTCTCACAACATGGCTCAAGTGGGTCATGAACTTGCTGTATGGCTCTGTAGCTTGCAGTCTTCCTACCTCAGGTGTAAGTGCTGGGTTTACAAGAATAGGGCCACCGCCCTCAGGTAAAATGGATGCACCAGAGCTCTAAATGCTGCATTAGAGCAGGGCTGAAGGCAAGCGCATGTTTCAAAACTACGGGAACTTAAGATGAAAATTCAAGCGAGGCTCAGATGTGCAGCAGAAAGGTGTCGGTCAGAGTGAGAAAGCAAATACTGCTACGTCAGCAGGGCTCTGCGTTCTGCTCAGCACAGAGAGCTCGGCAGGGCCGGAACTCCTCACAGGGTTTGCAGTGGACAGTGTCATCCTCTTACCAGGGCCTCATTTGCGCACTGGAACACGTAACAGACGAAATGAAAGCCGCCGCCACCAGAGCACTCCCGGCAGATAAACCCAAAGTGGTCCACATGCCTAATACCCTGTGCAAGGAGAAGAGGGTGAGCTGTGCGGAGCAGGAGCTGCTGGCGGAGGGCAGCTTCAAGGTGACGCTGCTCTGAGGAGCAGAAGGCTACTGCTCGCGCGTTTGTGTGAAGATTAGCATCGTGCTAAAACGCTGCCTTGATTACCTCACGAGGAGAACCAGTCAAGTCTTTTTTTCTTCCCTCTTTGAGACAGGGACTCTCTATGTAGCCCTATGAAGACTCACTTTGTAGACCAGGCTGGCCTCGAACTCACAGAGATCTGCTTGTCTCTGCCTCCCTGAGTGCTGGGAGAAGATTCAAGTCTTAATGCTCATTTTAGTAGTAAAAATTAGGCCGAGAGTAGCTGACAGAAAGACTGGGGCTTTGGGGGCATGTGCATGGGGGCAGCACTGCGGGCTAAAAGCTCCTTAAAACTGGTTCCACACCAGAGACACAGTCACACACCAATACACACGAACAAGCGTACAAACACACACATGTGCAGAGGCTAAAAAGATTCAACATGTGTGTGCTACTATTACAGGCAAATACTAACAGGAACTAGCATGAAGAATGAGCAAAAGCTTACTTATATACTGAGAAGAGCAGTCTTGACGTCTCTGAAAGGAAGGCCAGGACTCCGCCAGTGTCCCGAGAGCTCTTTCTTAGCTCATCAACAAGCTTAGAAGGCAGCAGGGAACAGACACTGACAGAGCGCCCGGGTCCCTGCCTCACGAATCTATCACAAGTAACTGATAGTTCTCTAATTTTTCAGACTTATTCAATGTGCATGGCTGCTTTGCCTTCATGTATGTATGTACACTGTATGCATGCTGGGTGCCAGTGGGGGCTAGAAGTGGGTGTCTAATTGCCTGGAACTGATGAGAAATGGCTACAAGCCGCCGTGCGGGTGCTGGGCAGAGAAGCTGGGTCCTCAGCAGGAGCAACAAGTGCTCTCCACCAGCAAGCCATCTCTCCAGCACCTGGGAGAGGGCCTCTGAGAAGATATGGGGGATGACTTTGATTGCATCAGTTGAGCTGAGTGGGCACGCTGAATGTGAATGGCACACGGGCCACTCCGGACCGAACGAAAAAGAGAGCAGGCTGAGCACCTGCATGCGCACACCCACTCTGACTTGCCACTGTGGCCGACTGTACCTCAGAAGCTACCTCTGTCAGGTACTTTACCACAGCGACAGGGAGGGAGACGAAGGGCAGCCTAAGCACACATGAAACCTGCCCTGTGGCTCTCAGTACATCCTGAGCCTTCCGAAAGAGCACCTGCAGAAACCTGGGTGCCCTCGACCTAAGTAAGGTGCAGACGACCTGGCGACCTGCACCTCTTTAGGAGAGGACAAACTGCCACACAACTGTAAAAGAGCAAAGATCCCCCAGCATGGTGCTACACGGATCTTCTGCCAGCAGTGGGAAGGGGCATATCTCTGTGAGTTCAAAGACCAGGGTGGTCCGCATTAGTGAGATCCAGGACAGCCTGGGCTGCAGAGACACTGTCTCGTTCATAAATAAATAAATAGACAGGCAGGTAGATAAGATTTTTAAAAAAAGCAAATTTCTAACATTTTAACATTTCAACATAATTAGGCATGAATCAAGATTCTGTGGATAATATCACTTTCAGGCAAGCATTTTCCAGTCAGTAATTGCTGAGATATCCTGATCTCAATCGGTGTCCTCCATCAACAAACTAAGCAGATAAGAGAGGCTGCTACTCAGGGGAATTTATCACAGTACCTTCTCTGAAAAGGCTTCTCTATTCAACTTGTTAAGAACAATCCTTATTTTCATAACTGAAAATAGTATTTTTGACCACTCAATTAGCTTACATTTTACACTGGGAAACAACTAAGATTTTTACATCATATTACAAAAAATGAAAAGCTAGAGTTTAAGAAAAAAAAAATCACCAAACAGAAACAGAAATGACATCTTATTTGCCATGACAATCTGGAGAAAGCTGCCTCATCACAGATGACAGATTTCTCCCAAGTCTCTCTATGAAACACAACTGGAAAACTTAACTATTAAACACACAAAGTTTCAAGAAGACAGTAAGACAGTGCATTCGGGGCATTCAGTGCAAAAACCTCCTCAAAGGTAAGTATCATCTCTCACAGTTTACAGGAAAATAATGACAATAAAAAAATTAAGAATTTCAAGAAAGTAGAAATGTTTCTATACAACATTATATATAAAATTGACTCTATATAAAAATACACACATATGTATAAACCATGTACACACATATATTAATTATATAAAAATGTATATATATCCAATTAAATATAAAACATGCACACACAAATTATATATAAAACATGCACACACATACACATACCAATTATAAATAAAAGATGCATACACATATAAGTCCTTGGAAATAGCTTGAAAGCATTAATACCAATATCAGGGAAAAGAAAGGAAGGTAGACTTATTTTCTCTAGTACATTCTTCCAAAAAGCAAAACTGTTAATTTCAAGATTATAATTTGCCTTAGTACACTGCAGGAGAAAAAAAACAATCAAGAATCAATCAAGACCACCAATCAAGAATTAAAATTAAAAACATGCTTTTTTACACAACAGCACTTCTACTGCATATATTAGAAGAACTGAAATTAAATCAATAATCTGTCAAAATTTACCTGAGAGCAAAAGGAGATCTCCTTAAAATTTTTCTCCAATGCAATCTTTTTGGTGTCAGGACTGATGAGGTAAATTTCAGACTGGCCAATCTTAAAAACAAAAACAAAGAAATGTGGTTCTCCTAAAGGGTGACTCCATTGCACATGTCATGACCTCTGAGGATACACAGGAAGTGTCAAGCTCTGTGGACTTTGACTATATTGCTGGCAAAGAATGTCAACGTCACAGTTAGTCCACGGATTTCAAATGACAGGAGACAAACACCTTTGTGATACAGCAGTATTCTGAAAGGAAAGGACCACACAGGTAAACGAGAACAATAATCCTCAAACTGCACATCCCCTTCAAGAGGAAATTCGTTTTCTATACGAGTGAATCTTCCAGAAAATATGGTTTCTATTTAAGATTTCCAAAATGCTCCTGGCAGCAGAGTGCCATGATGCCGGGCTGGCTGGGGAGGGCTACCTCCCAACCTCTGCCTCCTATGCTGACACTTCTCTACTCCCCTGTTGGTTTCTACAGACTCAACCCCTCCTCGGAGCCAACAAGGTAGCGGCCACATCCTCGTATCACTCTTACCTCACAAGCTTCTCCTCCAAGCTCTGAACTTTGAGCTGGACTGCAAATCAGAGAAACCAGCTTGGTGGAGACAGAGGTGTAAATCAAAGGTAATTGCACTCTTAATGAAGATGTCCAAAAACACGCATCCTGTAATTTAGACCATAGCTTTGTACGCAGAACACTTTTGTTCTATTTCTGAGCTGTCTTTCAGGCACGTGAGACTGGCAAGGTGTGCTAACTCTAACAGCAGCATACTTCCAGATCAGCCCAGACTGTTTTTCTAAGAAGGAAGGAGCCCACTCACTATCCCTTTACTGGAGGATAGTAACAGCATCTCCACATTTTATGTATCTTAACAGCCTTCTGTTCTTATCTACATAATGAAGATCATCATTTTTTTAAATAACCTTTGAAAATCTCTCAGCTGAGAAGCATTCTTTTTTTTTTCTTTATTAATTACACTTTACTCACTTTGTATCCTCCCCCCAAGCATTCTTATTTGGATGTGGGTAGGCTATAAAGAACAGGTGAGAATTTAGAGTTAAATGTAGGCCCTGGGGTTTTCTCACATCCAATCCTCTCTACTCTTCATCCCTACTGTCTTCAGACCTGAGGCTCTCTTACCTAGACTACCGCAATGGCTTCTAGCCCTCTGTTATTTTCCTTCCCTAAGTATACTTTTGCTCCACAGCCAAAGCTATTTGATGCTGTACTTGAAAATTTTCAGACTGCCCAATCTTTTTTTTTTTTTTTTTAACTAAAAACAAGATCCTGAATGTGACCTACCAGCCTAGCTCCACCCCCACTCACCTTCCCAGTTCCTGTGCAGTCTGCTGGCCTTCTCCCTCAGGAAGGACTGATCTCCCTGAGAGCCTACAGACACAGCTGTGCTCTAGGCACTGGTGACTATGGCAGTGAACAACAGAGGGAGATCTACAGCCTCATGGAGACTGAGATTCCAGGGGCCACACGGAACACAAGGTTCTTTACTTGTTTACTTGTAACTAAGCAGAGAGCCCGGAAAGTGAGGTCGCTGCTGGTCTCTCTGACGCAACTGCTTTCCCGGTCACGCCACTATCTCGGTCACGACCTGAAGGATTAGGAAGCAACGGCAGGACAACAGAGGGGCTGCCAGTGGCGCAGCGGAGCATCGCCTCCAGGACTCTGCAGTACAGCTCCTTCCCACCCATCTCCCCTGTCACCTGCCGCTCGCTGAAACCAGGAGGCCCCGTCTACCGGCCCCATGGGAGCCTCTGCTTCCTCAAAGACGCTTCTCCTGATTCCCCGGGCACTTCCACGGCGCCCCTACTTTTCTGCAGTGTTCAGCGTGGTCGGAATTACACAATTACTGGTGTGTCAGTTGCCTGTCTGCACTGCTGAAATCTGAATTCTGTGTGGCAGAGACTATGCACGGCTGTAATTCTAGCAGACTGTAGCCAGTTACAGACAAGCGCACTGAGCAGCTCTCAACCACACAGCAGTGCTGGGGAGAGCAGAGAGCGCGGCTTACAGAGCACAGGTGTTGCTGCCAACACAGCCTCAGGAGGGAGCCAGCCCTGTCCTGGCACACCGTCTGGATTTTTACCGATTAATTTATTGTGTTTTAATTGTGTGTGTGTGTGTGTGTGTGTGTGTGCCTGTGTGTGCAGGAACTGGAGCTACGGGCAGTTAGCTGTATGTGGGTGCTGTGAACTCAGTTCCTCTGCAAGAGCAGTGTGTGCTCTTGGGGGCTCGGCCAGCTCTCCAGATCCTTGATGTGGATCTGAAATCCAGCTATATCCACACCACACTAACCTATGTGGCCAGCTTCCTTACTCGTTGGCCATTTCATTGCCCTTGGTAAGCACAAAAAGGCCTACATCTAAGCTAGGTTTGCTCACTACTGTTATTAAAGCAAATGAGAAGAGGCAGAAATATGCCAAGGAAAAGGCCACAGACCAGCTTACTTCAGAAGAGGGTAGAGTCCTGTCAATTCACACCCAGGAAGATCATCCATCCAGAAAAACTCAAGCCGTCATGAAATTCCATGGCTGGCTACCCTTATCCATTCCTTTTCTTCCCTGTGGCTATCAGTTTAACAATTTTCTATTTTAAAAACAAGCAAACAAAAACCAAGCAACTAAACTAGTCTTTCAGTTTGGGCACTTGCTTTAAACATAAGATCATTATTTTTTAAATCCCGTTGCCCTGATTAGCAAAGGCGTTTTATAAATTAATAAGAGAATGTTTTCCACCGAAAATTGTTGACACTTGCACCCCTGCTTAACCTCCCCCTTGAACCTCTTATGTAACTATTCTTTCTGCAATGAAAGGGTGTGTACAGCCGAGATTTTTCAGACGGTGTCGGGGTGCGGAACCTTGTCGCGACTTTACCGTGAAGAGCATCGTCCGGTTCTCCTCAATATCTGTGGGCTGCACCACACTGTGTCCGCCGATGAGGTGGTTCTCGATGCCGTCGTCGAAGGAGCTGAAGGTGCTGCTGCGGAGGCCGGCGTCCTGGAACTCCCTCCGGAAGGCCAGCGAGCGCAGTCCGGGCTGGGAGAAGGACTTGCGCATGGGCCGGGGGCCGGGCGCCGACGGTGGCCCCGTGGGCGCGTCCTGGTCGGCCCTGCCGCCGCCGCTCACGTGGTTGAACTTCTCGATGCACTCGTCGATCAGCGCGGGCGGCGCCTTCTTGTGGGCCACAGTGACCCGGCCACAGAAGAGCACCTCGAACTTCTTGGCGAAAGTGTCGTCGAACTCGGAGGGGCAGCGCAGCTCTTCCTGGCGGGCGATCTTGCCGGCCTGCCGGATGGAGCTGATGATCTCAGGCACCTGCGCAAGAGGAGTGGGGTTAGTGACAGCAGATACCAAAGTCACAGCTCAAAACCACAGCTGCCAGGGCAGGGAAGCCCGAGAGGCCGGTCGGAACGCGGCTCACAGACACAGACAGCATCCTCCAAGGTTGGACGAGCAGCCCCAGGGCAGGCTTGGCACTCTAATCCCTAAGGTCCTCTGGGCATGTCTCCTGATGAGCGTCACTTAAACACACCAGCTCATCCAGAACGGTTCGGGGCAGTGTCCTTTGAAAAGCCTTCCTGAAAAGCCTTCCTCCATGCATGGTGGGATGCTGGGCTCTGAAATCACCATCTTACATTTGTCAAAATTGTGGCACCATTGTTTTCTTCAGTGGCAACGAGTTATGACTTGGCCCTGTATTTCCTAGCGTTGACTGATAAGTTAAGCAGTTTGAGCCATGCAGTGCAGAGAACCCATGCCTACTGATACAGTAACACACTGGGGTTTCTCACAAAAACGCTTTGCTTTCCTGACGGGAAAGTCTCCCAGCGAAGGTCTCCAGGACTATGGTGCCCTTCACTCGCCATCCTGTCCACTTACGACTAGGTTCTCCACAGCAGCTTCAGGAGTAAGGTGGAATCCATGCCACAGTCAGCAAACACCTGAAACTGCTTAGCTGGCCACCAGCCACAGCACTCACTCTCATATTCAGGGTTTGTGAAAACATGGCAAGCATGGACTTAATCTTCCAGCTCAAGGGGGCAGCTTTTGCTTTGACTGGACACAGTACATACCTGCATTTCTCATTTTTCTTCAGATAAAACTTCGGGTTAGGGCTAGATACTTGTAGGCCCTGTTTATCTACCATAACAACCAGAAAAATCCAATCCTTTCCAATTCAGATGAGAAAGTTCAACCAGTGTGTATAGTAAACAGAGCTGGCTCCAGTTCATCTTGAAAGCAAGCTTGTAGTCTGTGTCCATAACATAGTTCTTAGAAACCCACTGCCTCTTTGTCCTAAACACTGGTCACACTAAAGACAACCCGTCTGCTGTAAAGATCAGTATAGCTCCTCTCTAAGTATTTTACACGAGATTCAAAGACATCTTTAGGGATACGGTTTTTAAAAATGATTCCTGGGCTGGAGAGCTTACGAGCATGTAATGCTCTTTCAGAAAACTGGGGTCCGATTCCTGGCACCCACATGGGGGCTTACAACCATCTATACTTCAGGTCCAGTGCATCCAACACCCTCTTCTGGCCTCCTTGGGCACTGCATGTTCATGGTACACAAACATAGGCAAAAACACACGTACACACACACAAAATAAATCTTTAAAAAGTGAGTCCTAGAGCACAAATTCAAATAATATTTAAAAGCTGAAGTTTTAGCCGGTCATGGGGGCTCAGGCCTGTAATCCCAGCACTGGGGAGGCAGAGGCAGGAGGATCTCTGTGAGTTTTGGACCAGCCTAGTCTACAGTGGAAGAACAGCCAGGACGACACCGAGAATCTGTCTCAAAAACCAAACCAAAGGCCAGATCATTTTAAATGGGGGACGGGTGTTGTGCACCTTCTCTGGTGAACACGTGGAGGCCGGAAGAAAACCTACTGGACCCAGGCCTTTCTCCATCATATGACCAGAGACAAGCTTAAGTCATGGGCTTTGTCAGCAGGCATCTGTACCAGCTGAGCCATCTTGCTAGTTCAAGGCTGAGGTTTTGCATGGGAATCGTGTTTGCACTGAGTACTTTAGATGCTTGAGCTGTATGTGCGTCACTCGCATACTGCTGGGCAATTTTGTCCATTGTGCAGCAGCCTAGAAAGTATTACTGACAGAAAAATATGTGACAGAGAAAAGAAACAGCAGGAAGGGTAGGCTGCAGTCACAACTTTGCTAATGATTCACAGGACCATGGCAAAAATGCCATAGCTTCTCTCTGTGGGAGGGAGGCTTACACGATCAGAAACATTGAAGATTTTCTAGGGCAACGCTAGTTCTGTGTAGTAAAAATAGTGTTCCTTCACACCACAATTGTCAACTTCAGCTTGTGATGGAGTGCCACTTTTCTTAGCAATATGTGAGACTATATTAAAAGGAGTCCCTTGTATTTTCCCAATTATTCACTTATTTTCCAAACAGGAAATGCAGTCTATTCAAAGAATAGACTTTGAGGCCTGCTAAAAGAGCAAATGTTTCTATATGCTGCACCTTCTAATACATCAAGCCAATGATGTTTTCCATCGTGTCAAAGAGGGGAAAATGTATAGAGCCATCTGAACTTAGAGCAGCTCAGCACTAAATGGAACAGATACAGGACAGCTCAAGTGTCCCCTTGATTCAGAAGGATCTGAGATTTCACACCGTGGCCAGAGTTCAGGCTGTTAGTCTTCGTAACTATGGATTTCTCCAGTTCCTTGATTACGATCTAAAACAGACACACTTCATTCAATGACCAAGACCCATCTCTCCTTGCTCCAATGGACCTCATTATCTAGGCAGAAGTTTACTCAAGCCTCCTGCCACTCAACAGCGGGAAGGTGTGTGTAAAATAGGTGTAAAGTGTTTGGAAACTGGGAGATGGGAGAGCAGCTCATGCAGAAGGGATGGGGTGAAGCCTGGGGAAAGAAAACAATGGAAGGGAACAGAGGGGCCCTGGGAGAGCTGACATCAACTCAGGACTGAATCGACTAGAGACGGGCAGGCAGGGAGGCAGGAAGAGAGCAAGGCAAGGGTGAAGCAAAGCTGTTAAAGACAGGGCAGCAGTTCACATGAAAGTACGCAGGGTGGCCTGGAGCTCATGCGCACGTAAAAAGGGAGTTGCCAGTATTAAGCCCCAAATAAACACAACTGAACAGCAGCCTGTATAGGCTATGGGAACATACACATCAGGTTACAATGATTCCTGCCAATAAACAAACAAAACACAAGACCTGCTTGGAGCAAACGCACTGGGGTCACTGGAGAATTACTCCCCCTGTCTGATATGATCTGGTACTTCTAAATGAAAATCTTGACTAGTTCAGTCAGAGCATGAAGAGCTACGTCATTCCTGTTTGCAGATAAGATGATAAAGCAAATCCGAACTAACTGGAGCAAAGGAAAGGATCTGAGAACTGTTTTCCTAGAATAAATTTAACAAGGGTTTGAGGTTTGGTTGGAGCTGCTGATACTATGGAAACCACAACAAAAATGTTAGCTAATTAAGATCAATTGCCCAAAATTAATGAAGAAGCGGGCCTGTTTAGGTATATAGAACTCTCATACTAACAAAAGGACAGTAAAGGGCAGTTTTCGGTGAGGCTTAAGTCAGTACTGTTTCACAGAAACAGGGAAAATGACACTCTGAGAACCAGGGTTACTTCTGTAAATAAAGCCCTATTCAAGCACTTGGCTCAGCTTCCTAAGGATTTAGGGATTTAAGGGGTTATAAGCACAATGCAACTGTAATTTTATTCACAGGGATTTAGGGAGGCTTTTCTGAAACATTCTTTAGAAATAAAAAAAGTCACTTTTAGATTGCATGTACAGGTTTGTCTGCCAACTATTACCATTAACTACTAAATAACTCTTCAAAAGTCTTAGGTCTCAATTTCTGCTTCCTGTAAGTGCCAGAGGTGACTAGTGAAAATGGTTCCCTCCTCTGTTAGCCTGAAACCCCTCGAAGACACACAGATCAGGGTTCAAATCTTCAGGTATATTAAGAACACCCATGAAACTGCCCAGGCCATGAAGAGCATGCATATGCAAAAATCCGCCAAGTATCTGAATAACATCACTTTAAAGAAACAATGTATCCTGCACCAGTGGTGTAATGGCGGAGTTGGAAGGTGTGTTCAGGCCACAAAGGGGCTGGGCACAAGTCTGGTGCCAACCAAACCAAACCAAACCAAACCAAACCAAACCAAACCAAACCAAACCAAACCAAA